ATTTAAGGGCTTCATACTAGTTGTGCCTTCTTTCTGAGACTGTCCTGACCAAGGTCTGTGAGCTTGCAGTGTTTGGCTGACTGGTCATCAGTAATAATCAATACAAGATATATATTATATATATATCTATATATTGTGTGTACAGTTAAATGGTGTTTCTGCGTTTATTTTGGGTTGCACTGATGTATCAGGCTGATTACATGAGGCAGTAGGCTTCATGAGTCTGAAAGCTCAAACTCAAAAGGATCATCATGAGGAGCAAGAATATGCGCAGTAAATGTCACAAACTTCCCAATGGCGGCTTTCGAGGAAGGATCAGGAAGTCGTCAAAAATATTAGAGGGATCGTGAATTTCTACAGCAGATTTTTATGGAAACATGGCCATCAGAAACTTTGTCAAGTGTTGTTAAGCAGAAACTGAACATGATGGTGGTGCTAGACAAAAGGTCGGGGATGAGCAAGAATTTGAAAGCATCCTCGGATAATCGTGAAAATTCAACAGTTCATTTTCAAAATTTTGCTTATTTTTAACAAATTGCACAAAAGGACCAAAACCAACAAGGATTCTTCTGTTCTTAAGAATTTCAGAGCTTCCAATGCTGTCTGTGGCTCTCAGACCAAAGTTCACTTGTTGCTACTGAAGCCATAAATCTGTAAAAACTGGCAACAAATAAGGCTAAATAATTACCCAACGCTCATGATGGGATTTAATAGTTTTGGACTATTGCGCTCTTTGGCTCAAAGAAAGATGCAAAATCAGGCTTTGGACACACACACAGTGACTTGTTAGTACTGTTGTAGTACTCAAGACGGTCTTGGTATTGAGACTGGTCTTAAGACCACTTTTTGATGGTCTTGGTCTTGTCTAGGACTCGACCGCATTTGTATTCGGTCTCGTCTTGGACATTGAAGACTCAGGATTTTATTTCAAGAACAGTCAAGACCATAACTTGGCATTGTCTGATTTGTTTGATAGGTCTAACTTTGAGGATGTAAAACGTATCGCTTCAAAT